ATATATTTTTTAACCTAATAAATAAGGAGATAAGTTAGTCTCTAAAAAATACAAAGTTGTTCCAAATAAAACTGTGGTTAATAAAAGGGCACAATACAATGCTAGTTAGATTGAGTTATTTAAAATTTGGTCCCTATAAAAGAACGCTTATTATAGGAGAATAATATGATTTTATTTGAAAAAAACAAATTAGAAGTTGTTCCACTAAACATAGTTAAAGTGGACCAACTGTAAATGTTTTATTTGTAGGAGGGTGGTATACATATTATTAGTATAGATATATAAAATATGCGTTAGGATATGACATTTTTTTTCCAAAATAATTCTGATTTTTTGATTGAATTTTTAAGATCATTTACAATTTTTAAATTTAGAATTAAATGAGTCAACAAAATATTCAATTGTATAAACCGTTATTCCAGCTATATAGAAACGGTGTTATTAAGTATGACGCAAATAGCAATGATATTTCGAAAATAACAGAACCTACATTATTTAAAAAAAACACATGTGCCGGAAAAAATATTCATTTGAATATCTTATACATTATTTAACAAACATTATTCAAACCATATAGAAACGGTGTTATTAAAGTATGACGCAAATGGCAATGTTTTTTCGAAAACCCAACCTACATTATTTAAAAAAAAACACATGTGCCGGATAAAATATTCAAACGTTGCATGACATTTTTGTCCAATATTGCAAATATTCCTGATATTTTTCGATAACAATAAGTCTAATTGTTCAATATATTTTTTAACCTAATAAATAAGAAGATAAGTTAGTCTCTAAAAAATACAAAATTGATACATCTAAAACTGTGGTTAATATAACGTCACAATACATTACTAGTTATACTGAGTTATTCAAAATTTGGTCCCGATAAAAGAAAGCTTATTATAGGAGAATAATATGATTCTATTTGAATGAATTTAATAAAAAGTTGTTCCTGTAAACATTTAGTAGGGCAACTTTAATTTAGTTGTTCTACCTGGATATTTGTATGTCTCTATAGTAAACATACAGGGTCCGGCAGTAAAACGGGATGATTTCAATACTTAATTACTATTTAATGAATGAATACATTTTAATTTTAATAAATATAAAGTATAAGAGTTACAATTTTATGTTCAATACAAAAAAATACTATTTTTTATGTACTACGTTTGCCAAATGACCTCCATTTTTATTTATGCATTCTTGTAGGCGGAACATAAAGTTCTCATGACCTTTCGCAGCATATTAATGGAAATTGATTCAATATCGTCCCGAATGCGTTGTTTGAGTGTTTGGATAGTTCTTGGTGGATTGGCCTCAAACACTTTTGATTTAAGGTATCCCCATAAAAAAAAATCGCAAGCCGTTAATATGCTGCGAGAGGTCATGCAAAACTTTAAGTTCCACCTACAAGAATGAATAAATAACAATGGAGGTCATTTGGCAAACGTAGTACATAAAAAACAGTATTTTTTTGTATTGAACATAAAATTGTAACTTTTATACTTTATATTAATATTTATTAAAATTAAAATTTATTCATTCATTAAATAGTAATTAAGTATTGAAATCATCCCGTTTCACTGCCGGACCCTGTAGGTAAAGTGGGCCAATACATATTAATAGTAAAGATATATCAAATATGCGTTAGAATATGACACTTTTTTTCTAAAATAATACTGATTTTCAGATTGATTAATTAAAATCATTCCCAATTTTTAAATATGGAATCTTATGAGTCAAAAAAATATTCACTTGAATACAATATACAATATTTAAAAAACGTTATTTAAACTATATAGAAATAGTGTTATTGAAGTAAAACGCAAATGGCAATGTTATTTAGAAAATAACAGAACATACATATTTTTAAAAAAATACACGTGCCGGATAAAATATTCAAACGTTGCATGAAATTTTCGCCCAATATTTGAATATGTTACACATTATTTAACAAACGTTATTCAAGCTATATAGAAATAGTCCTATGAAGTATATCGCAAATGGCAATGTTTTTTCGAAAAAAACACAACCCTACATTATTTAAAAAAAAACACATGTGCCGGATAAAATATTCAAACGTTGCATGAAATTTTTGTCTAATATTTAAAATATTCCTTATAGTTTTCGATAACAACAAGTTAAACTGTTAAATATATTTTTTAGCCTAATAATAAGGGAAATAAGTTAGTCTCTAACAAATACAAAGTTGTTCCAAATAAAACTGTGGTTAATAAAAGGGCACAATACAATGCTAGTTAGATTGAGTTATTTAAAATTTGGTCCCTATAAAAGAACGCTTATTATAGGAGAATAATATGATTTTATTTGAAAAAAACAAATTAGAAGTTGTTCCACTAAACATAGTTAAAGTGGACCAACTGTAAATTTTTTATTTGTAGGAGGGTGGTATAAATTTTAATAGTAGATATATTAAATATGCTTTAGGATTTGCCATTTTTTTTCCAAAACAATTCTGATTTTTTGATTGATTTTTTAAGATCATTTACAATTTTTTAATTTAGAATTAAATGAGTCAAAAAAATATTCAATTGGATAAACCGTTATTCCAGCTATATAGAAACGGTGTTATTAAGTATGACGCAAATAGCAATGATATTTCGAAAATAACAGAACCTACATTATTTAAAAAAAACACATGTGCCGGAAAAAATATTCAAAAGTTGCATGACATTTTTGTATAATATTTAAAATATTCATGATACTTTTCAATAACAATAAGTCAAATTGTCATCAAATTATCTTACGTGATAAATATGATCACGCGTAATCATATTATGTGAGAAAATTAGATCCTATTGTATAAAAACATTCGTTATTATTTCGATGGTTTCCTATATGTTTTACCTACTAGTAGCTGGAAGACGACCAAATTGGTCACAAGTATTAACTGACAGGCGACCGGGAAGGTCACTAGCTATCTGTATTGGTTGACCTAATTTCCTAATATGTTCATAAATAACCGTCTATGTCAGTAACCGATAATGACGTACCACTGCACATTTAGAATTTAATTATCAGAGGTAGACCCGGCATGATGCATTAAAGGTGTTTACTTAAGAAGTTTAAAAGTGTTTAAAAACTGAAGAGTAAGGCATGAATGATATGTCTAGAGGTCAATCAGTAACTATTAAATCTTAAAAGGAAATGAAGTGAAGGTTGATAAGACATTCTTTTGATTATTGTTTTTTTGGCAGTGCCTATAAAAACGACCAAAAAGCGGTTTAATAAAATGTCTCGATGCAAGTCTTTTAAGTTTTTAGATCTTGACAATTATTGTGTAATAATAATATTCAGTTTATCAAATACCCATATTATAAACGTATAAACGTATTACTTACTTCTATCAAACATATTAATATCAATAGCATATAATATGCATTCATTCATATTTATTTTCATATTGTTTTAAGTTAACCACAAAGGTAGAATCCATGTATTGATATTTTTTGTTAGATGGGTAACCAACATTTTATCCTACTAAATGAAAATATTAAAATATTTTAAACAATGCTAAGTTTGAAATAAGTGAAATAATGTATCAATTTAATAAAATCTATAGTTGTAACTTGTATACCATGTATACTAATAATAATTATAGACAACAAAAAAAGTTAAAAAAATTATTGTTTTAATTTTTTAAAAAACCAATAGTTTTTAGAATTCCATTGAGTTACAATTATAGGCATTTTAAATATAATGTTCTAACAATCTCAATAATATTATAAATTTATATATATATAGGGGATGCTGTAAAAATAAAACTTTTAAAATAAGTCAATCAAATAGATTTTTTGTAAAACCAAAAAACATAACCATATACACACCTAACTTTATTTTAAGTAGAGTTGTGTTCTTGTATAATGTTTAAACAATGTCATACTATTTATTTATTGTTAGATTAGACAGGTAGTAATTATTAAAATATATTTCATTAATAACAAAAATCAAATTTAATATCTTCGGCTATCTATCGACACACATCGTCTACCTACATGAAATAAATGCAATCATTGATAGCGTCATGCTTATATAAATAGCTATTGTGAAATTTTTATTTTTGCAAACGTTGTAAACAATCCAATGCATCATTTTATGTCTGTTATATATTTGGATAACTATATAGACAGACATCATTCCATCAGCCTACAGAACAGAGAGACGCAGACTGTGAATTAATTTTAAACTTGTACATTTTTTTTAAAAAAATTGTATGTTGTTTTTCTTGACTTGTAATAATATTTGGAAAACATGGCCACTTTTGATGTGTATTACTTCAATTTATCCCTTCTTCAAAAACCGACGCTCGGCACGTAAAACACTGGTAAAAAAAATAGGGTAAGATATAGGAGATAAGAGAAATGTTGTACGTTGAACGTTCAAATTAGAACTAAATGAAAAGTTCAAAATAGTTTAAGAGTCCAAATTCTCTAAGAATTGTTTTAAGCCAGATATTAAATTCTTAATTTTTCTGCATTGAGTATTAGTCCTAATTCCTAAGTATCCTTTATATTTTTTAAATTATTGTTTTGTAATAATTAGTCTATTACCTTATTTTTTTAATTTTTAAGAAGATACTGTTTTTTTGAAATCAATTTACTAAGAAATATGCAGACTTTCCATTGAACATGCTGTTTGTTTCTTAAGATCCTACTAACACACAACGTACGAACATACTACGGACTGTGTTTTCACACCAAAACAACCTTCAAAGGATAACATGCCACATTCAAAGCGCCTTAACCAATAACAATTATGACATTATAATTTAATCCGTCGTTTTATCTAGACAACCTTTTTGAGATTATGCAAAACGTTGTTACAGACTATAACGATAGAAGAAACATATACACATTGTACTTAAACAAAGCTACAACAATAAAATCTGGTGAAAATATAGTAACTAAGTTTGAAAACATGTGTTAAAGCAAAACAAGATATTTTAAATTTGCCAGATAGTAGAAATTTATTATGAATTTGTGAAATATATGGTTTGGTTTACTAATAGTTTACACAATTTAATTTTGTTTATTTATTTTAAAGCTGTATTTTTAACTGAATATATCTCTGTAATTTGGATTGTTGTCATTCAATCCTTTCTGTCAAAAAAAAAAAAAATATTATTTCATAGCTCAAATAGAATTACCTTGTTTAATGTTACCTCTGTTTAATGTTACCTCTGTGGTACTCATGACACCCGTATCAATCTAAGAAATAATATTTTAATATATTAGAACTATATATATATATATATAGCTCACATATATGTGAGCTATATGTGTTATCAATTAGGTTAGCTTACATTAAAATTAGGGGCCTCAAGGGTGATTGAACCTTTCTTTTCCTTAAAAGTTTCTAAACACGATACAAAACGCTTTTTTATTAAATGAATATTATATATGAAAATTAATAACAAAATATAATATTTTAATATATAAGGACAATAATAATATTATAATCAAAACGGTAATATTGAGGACGAGTTTTATTACGGCGGACAGCGAGGTAACGTTTCCACGACGCCGTCAAGTAATTCCCTTGGAAGAAAATAATAATTTTCGTAACATGAAAAAGGGACATTTGTAACTTCGACTAACTAAACTGAAACGTAAATAAGAGATGCTCAGAAACGCAATCGTCTTTACAGTGCGAACGGAAACTGCATTTTCGAATTTCAATCACGACCAAAATATAGTAAACCATATCAAATACTAAACGATGCTATTTTATGTTTTAAGACTTTATAAGGGAATCACCAAATTAATAATGTTTAAAAATAAGTAACTATTACCTTTTGGTGGTTCTGAACTACTTGCCTCCTCCGAGGTTCCGCCACCTACACAACCTTTTAAAAAATAAAATATTAGATATTTCAAAAAAATAACGAAGATAATGAATCAAAACTTATTAGTGTACATTTTTAAATGAGCACACAATTATTTAATCTAATCGAAGTTGCATAACTATTTTAACCTTTATTCCTCGGTACATAACTTGTTCATGATAACAACACACTTAACCAGTTTAATGTAAAGGTCTGTCACTTTTTCAAATCAGGGTTCCGTTAAAAGATGTTAATTATTTGTCAAGTTCGAAATATTGCACAATGTACATGACCATAAAATATGTGTTTTATTATATTATAATTTGTATTGAAGTGTATACAGCATGTTTAAATCGTTTCAAAGATATTCGATTATGGAACTATTAATAATCAAAATATTTCAAAATAAATGAACAAGATATATATGACGTCCATGATAAATTAGCTTTATCGTGAATATTGTTGGTACCATATTTCAATTTTGCAAACAAAATTCAATAAAACAAAGTAATAAGCGATGAAAAAAACATACCACTTAAACATGAAGACACCCAGCCTAAAAACGAAAAAACAATTTAATATTGTTTTGAGAACTTTTGGCAGTAAAATATTTTTAATAGTGAATATTTAAGAAAATAATTATTTTCTTACATATTTACATGTAAGAAAATAATAGCTTTAAATATAACATTTTTTACACGATTTTAAAGCTGTGTTAAAAAACAATTTCAATAATACTAACAATAAGAATACAAAAAGGTTTTTGATTTATAAATGTAGATATTTTTATTTACATTACAATAAATAAGTCACAATGATATTACTATACACATTGTTGTTTTACTAATAACTAATACAAAAGGAAATGTACAATATTGTAATACTTATTGTCTTCACAATATTTTAATATTTATTGAATATATACTAATGAAAGGTTTTTATCAACAATAAAGTTTTAGGACAAGCGTGTCTAGCCGAGTACATGCACCTAACCTAACTATTCAGTAAATGTGCTCGTGTGAATCACTGTTAACAGACTCTGATAATAACTGCGCTCTGTCGTATATGATCAGTGTAAAGCAATTCATCAGATAAAAAAAAATCCCCCAAATACAGTTGTGCAGAGGTTAAACTAATACTGCGTACGTTAGTACCGGGTTTACGAATTTACTTTCTTTGGTTATTTATTAAGTTTCACTAGATGGTTATTGCATCCAATCATTGTTCGAATTGTCGATGGAGTTCAGATATAAGAAAAAGAAAAAAGAGATAGAAGAAATTATCTTAGCACTGAACAAGATCCTTCGGTGTTTTGACGCTCTAGGCAATCACTGTATTCCGCCGTGTCAGTCTCGTATATACAATTTGCCAGTAGATGTCTCTAACTACTAAAAAACTTAATCATTTGGTCCGAGACCAGGGCTATTTCTGTAATTGTGCTCCTGTATCCCTGACGCGATAATGTTGAATGTGTTACGCGATTTTACTGTATTCTAGTATTTTTAAGAAAACTTTTACTATTCTACCCATTTCAAATAACTTTTAACTATTAATCCATATTTACAGCCGATTAATAAAGAAAGTTTAATATTTATAATACTTGACAGCGTTGCTACGCGAGCGCCATCTCTGTGCATTACGGCAGGTGTTCCTGCGCATCATGTCTCGGCTAGACCGCGCCACTGTCTGATTTACTACAACTGTTAAGAGGGATACTATTCTAATTCCAGTAGATGAATATTAACACATCTCATGTATTACTGGTGGTTTGAACTTATAGTGTTAGAGAGAGGGTTTAACGAAAATCAATGAAGGACAATGCTAAGAAAAATAACTAACTTAATGGTATACAAAAATAATAATTAAATTTTAAAAATATAATAAAGAAAGTGCACATTAGGTAACTCTACAATATATATACTTGTAGAACGTTTTATCGGCGGATTGTTGGCTATAATTCAACAAATAATACACATCAAATTAATGTTTGCTAACTTTAAATTGGCATAATAGTATTTAGAAAAATAAATATTAAACGAGTTTAAATAGGAATCATGTTTTATACGATTTTTTAGTACTTTGGTGCAGCTTCTACATAAAATTAATTTAACCCCTATTGAATTTTGTAGACTTATCTGGTCTAGTAACATTTTTATCTTAAATTTCAAACTTTAAATTTTGTGTTAGAAAATATATGTTTTACCAATAGATATTGGTAGAGAAATAAGTGGAAATCCAAATTAATTATATGGACCAAAATGCCAAATATGAACGATCATTCGGAAGCAACACCCGCAAAATAACTTAAAACCTACCCAGCATGTCTACTACGATAAAATTTAGTCGTATAAAGTATTTTTAGTTTTTTATTTACTTCTGTTTATCATCATTTTGTATTGTATCTATTGTCATAAAACAAATGATTGAAAAACTTCCAGCGTTATATTTTACTTGCTCACTTGAATGTTTTGATAAACAAAATGTCATTAATTGAGTTTATAATCTAAAAAACCGCAAATTTATCTTAATTTTACACATAAATATTTCAACTTTTTTTATAACTGTGATATTTTTTCCCCGTTTTTCCAATTTTCTATGTATTTCCATCTCTTTTTTTTAAGCGTTTTATAAAGTTATTAGTTTAAAACTCACACATTTCACGTAAAGTTTTATTAGCTTTCTACATAGAAAAATTCTCAAAAATTGGCAACACGCTTTTTAGATTATAAACTCAATTTAATTACTTTCTGTTACTCGAAAAAAGATCAATTATTTTACTTTAAGAAATTAATTTTTTGTATTATGTCCAAAGATACTATAAAAAGACGATTAAAAACAGTTTAAAGGAAAAAACTAAAAATTAGATCATCAATTTACATGAAAGAAAAAAAATGTTTTTTATAAATTGATTTACTAACGAAAAACATTCTTGTCGTTGAAACAGACACGCAGAATGAGTTTCTAAAAGTTCTACAAAGAACGCTCTAAAAGGTTGTTCGTATTTGTCGTTTTGGCGCTTGTATCAATAAAAAAAAAACGTAAAATTACCTTCCGACTGTCTGTCACCTAACCAACAAATAAACATAAATCATTATTTTTATCAATTATTTTGTATAATTTTGGTACCGTGTAAATACACCAAAAACCAACGTATAAGGAATGTAATCTGTTATCTACTTTTAGGTGAACATTAAATATTACTAAACGGTTATATTATACAATAGGTTAGTAAAAATGTACAAGTTAAGTAGAAAACATGTATAAAATTGTATGTAAAATGTATAGCTGTACATAATTTATAAACATACCTGGAAATGGGCGACCTTGAGTGACTAAATATAAAAAAAGCAATTATAGGTTTCAATATAAATTCATACTCGCTTACATAATTTTTAATTGAAAATAATTTCTCCATGCAATTAAATTAAAATACAATTTGTCATTTTATTAGAATCCATAAAATTATGATGATTAAAGTATTGAACCTGTGAATGTATTGTAAAAAAAATACAAATAAGACATACCCAATGATACTTCCATAATAATAAAAACTATAATACAAATAGTTAATTTCTGCATAATGCACTAAAGAACACTTCTAAGATAGACAATGAAAACTACGATACACAATCTTAAAATGTACAGTGAAAAATTTAAATGAACATAATATACATTATTTAGCAAGTTTTTCTCAGACTATATAGTAACAGTTTTATTATAGTATGACGCAAAAGGCAGTGTTATTTGCAAAAAAACAAAACGATACATGTTTCTAAAAAACCTGTGAGATTGAGCAAACATTATAATAGTAAAAAACAATTTCAATTAACATTAAAAAAAAATTGCCCAATATATAAAATATTTCAATAATATAATATATATATATATATATTGTATGTTATTGAATATAATATACATTATTTAACAAACGTTATTTAAACTATATAAAAACTGTGTTGACTTAAATGGTAATGTTATTTCGAAAATAACAAAACGTACATTTTGTCCAATATTACAAATATTTCTGATATTTTTCGATAAGAATAAGTGTAATTGATAATTATTTTATAAAACCTATTAGTTAGAGAAATAAGTTAGTCTCTGAAAAATACAAAGTTGGTCCAACTAAAACTGTGGTTAGTATAAGGTCACAATACATTACTAGTTATACTGAGTTAAAAATTTGGTCCCGATAAAAGAAGGCTTATTAGAAGGGCTTAATATGATTCTATTTGAATGAATTAAATTATAAAGTTTTTCCAGTAAACATTTAGTAGGGTCAACTTTAATTTAGTTGTTCCACCTGGATATTGTAAAGTTTTTATGTGTAGGAGGGTGGTATACATAATAATAGCAAAGATATATCAAATATGCGTTAAGATATGATATTTTATTCTATAATAATCTAATTTTTAAATTGATTTTTTAATATCATTCCCAATTTTTAAATATGGAATCTTATGTGTTAAAAAAATATTCAATTGAATACAATATACATTATTTACAAACGTTATTCAAACTATATAGAAACGGTGTTACTAAAGTATGACGCAAATGGCAATGTTTTTTCGAAAATAACACAACCTACATTATTTAAAAAAAAAACACATGTGCCGGATAAAATATTCAAACGTTGCATGAAATTTTTGTCCAATATTTCAAATATTTCTGATATTTTTCGATAACAATAAGTCAAATTGTAAAATATAAATTTTTAATAAGCTAGCCCAAACTACCCGGGGTTCAGATGCGAACACGATTAGGATATCTGCACTCGCCTTCACCTACTCGGTAGCCGAGTACTGTACACCAGGATGGCTAAACAGCTCACATACAAGTAAAATAGGCACCCAATTAAACGCAACGATGAGGACAATCACAGGAGCAATTAAGTCAACACCAGCCTCTTGGCTACCGGTATTGGGCAATATAGCGCCACCTCACCTCCGTAGAAACAATTCCCTAGTTCGAGAATATAACAACCATGCCTTAAATCGAAGTCTACCCATACACATAAAACATGAATAATAATCCCAGCCAAAGATTAAAATCTCGTAAGCCTCCTTGGAAGCTGGCACAACAATTAATTAACGAAAACTATAACCTCAACTCTAAATGGACTGATGAATGGAGACTAAATAATCCCGACAAATTTAACATCATTGAACATCCTACAGTAAGGGTTCCGGGGTTCCAACTACCCCGGAAAGAATGGGTGACCCTAAACAGACTTAGGACTGGACACGGAAAAACGGGAAAAATGCTCCATAAATGGGGACTTAGGGATACACCACAACGCGACTGCGGATACGATACCCAGACAGCCAACCACATCGTGGAAGAATGTCCAATACGCAGCATACAAGGCGGAATGGAACATCTTCATAAGGCTACAGCAGCAGCAATAAACTGGTTGACCAATCTGGACATTGGAATTTAGGACTATGAAAACACTATCCCGACTTATATTTTACATACTTGACTAATTATTACTACATAAGCTCCTTACATTTTATCAATTTATATATTTTTGTATTTGTATTTGTATTTTTATATTTATATTATCTATATCATTTATTTGCAGTGTTTGTTGTTGCTTTTACGATATCTATTTATGTTGTTAGTGTTGGATTTAAACCATACGAAATATATAATATATACCCAGGGAATTTACTCATTGTTACAGAATATGGATTTATACTTCACTCCTAAAGAGATATGCAGTATCTACAAATATCTAATTGTTGGGAAAATTTTTTTTTGATTTCATAGTTTTTCAAATATTTGACTGACCTCATGTAGTTGAGAGTATAAGGTAAATATGAAGAAAATTATTTTTTAAATATTGACTATTAAAATTATTAATTTTACTTTACTTATTAATATAAGTTATTAATTTGTCTGCACTGGTCTGTATCAGTCCTAAGTATCATTCATATTTTTGAAATTATTGTTTTCTAATAATCAGTCTATTACCTTTACTTATTTTTATTTTTAAGAAGATACTGTATTTTTGAAACCAGTTTACTGAGAAATATGCAGACTTTCCATTGCACTGTGTACATGCTGCTTTTTTCAAAATTATACTACGTACTGTGATTTCACATCAAATCATCAAGTGTCAAAGGATAACATGCCACATTCAAAGCGCTTCAACCAATAACAGTTATTATATATAACTTAATCCGTCGTACCTATTATCTAGACAAACCTTTTTGAGATTAAGCAACATATTGATATAGGCTATAACGATAAAGGAATCATATGCACATTGTACTTGAACAAAGCTACAATAATAAAATCGGGTGAAAACATAGTAGCCCGGTTTGAAAATTTAATTTTGTATATTTATATTTCTTTAAAAGCTGTATTTTTAGCTGAATATAAATCTGTAATTTGGATTGTTGTCATTGGATCCTTTCTGTCAAAAAAATAAATTATTAATTCATAGCTCAAATAGAATTAACTTTTTTAAAATTACCTGTGTTACTGAAAATTATTGGTTGGATTTTGAAAAGAAACCTAAGGAATACAATTTTATAATAATAGAACTATAAACATACAGGGTGATCCAACTAACGTAAGACACTCATTTATTCTGAAAGTATGAATATTTTACGAATTTTTTTTTCCTAAAATTTTAGGTACATATTTAACTAAATTTTTCAATATTTAGAAAAATTTTATCTTTGACCCTTATACGTTAAAGAATTACGAACTTCGTTTTTTTCAAATGGGTACATATGTTTTAAATTCCATAAATATATAGACAAAATCGGACTATATGGATGAAAATTAATAATTCAAACGATAACTTATTTTAAAAAATTTTTCCTACAAATTTATGGAATTAAAAACATGTGTTGCCATTTGAAAACGTGAACTTAGACCCTTTTTATCATATAAGGGATGGAAATAAAAATTGTCAACGCATTGAAAAATATATGTAGTAAAACTTATACCTAAAAGAATGGGAAAAAAAAAAGTTTCAAAATATTCATATTTTCCGAGAAAATGAGTGTCTTACGTTAGTTGGATCACCCTGTATTTATACAGGGTAATTCATTACGGATAAGACACTCATTTTCTCGGAATATATTAATATTTTTTCCAAGATTTTCTGGTACACATTATACTATATTTTTCAATATTTTGAAAAGGTTTATCATCAATCCTTTAAGGCAAAAAAGGGGATTTTAGTTTTTTTTAAATGGCAAAAATAAAAAAATATTTTAGCGTTCGAATTTTGAATTTTCATTTATTTGTTCAATTGTTATGACTTTATAAAGATTTTATTTTTTAACTGTATTTCTTAATATTTTCAATTGTTACTACAAAGACGAGTAGTTACTACACGCATAAAAAAAATTTGATAAAGTGTGTTTATAAAACCAATCTGTGTGCCTGTGTTGGAATAGGAAATCTGTAGTTAAGACCCGTTTGTCTATCATTATTTAAAAGTCTTTTATACCAGTGACTTTTTTTGTTAGAGTGTTATTGCCAAATGGACAATGCGAACATTAATATGAACTTTATGTGCTACCGGTTTTGGAAAACCGAAGAAACGTGATAATTATTAAGAGAAAATGTAGTATCTTAACAAAGTCATAGCTAATGAACAAATAAATGAAAATTCAAACGCTAAAATAATTTTTTATTTTTTTTCTATAAATTGTTACATAAATTTGTAATGTAATTAAAAACATATGATACTATTTAAAAAAAAACTAAAATTCCTCTTTTTGGCCTTCAAGGATTAATGATAAACATTTTCAAAATATTGAAAAATATAGTACAATGTGTACCAAAAAATGTTGGAAAAAAATATTTTTCAAAATATTAATATATTCCGAGAAAATTAGTGTCTTATCCTTAATGAATCACCCTGTATATACATATATATGTGCGTTATCAATTAGGTTATTTTACCTTCAATATAGAGTTGTCAACACTGTTTGCATTTTTTTTATTGCTCTTAGGTTCTAAACACGATACAAAACGTTATTATATGAAATTAGTATTATATACGAAAATGAGTAACAAAATATAATATTTTAATATATAATGACAATAATAATAATATAATTGAAACAATAATATTAGAGGACGAGTTTTATTACGGCGTACCGCGGACAGCGAGGTAACGTTTCCACGACGCCGTCAAGTAATTCCCTTGGAAGAAAATAATTATTTCCGTAATATGAAAAAGGGACATTTGTAACTTCGACTAACTGAACTGAAACGTAAATAAGAGATGCTCAGAAACGCATTCGTCTTTACAGTGCGAACGGAAACTGTATTTTCGAATTTCAATCACGACCAAAATATAGTGAACCATATCGAATGCTAAACGATGCTATTTTATGTTTTAAGACTTTATAAGGGAATCACCAAATTAATAATGTTTAAAAATAAGTAACTATTACCTTTTGGTGGTTCTGAACTACTTGCCTCCTCCGAGGTTCCGCCACCTACACAACCTTTTAAAAAATAAAATATTAGATATTTCAAAAAATAACGAAGATAATGAATCAAAATTAATTAGTGTGCATTTTTAAATGAGCACGAAATTATTTAATCTAATCGAAGTTCCATAACTATTTTAACCTTTATTCCTCGGTACATAACTTGTTCATGATAACACCACACTAAACCAG